CTGCGGCCCTAAACCCTAAACCCTAAACCCTAAACCCTAAACCCTAAACCCTAAACCCTAAACCCTAAACCCTAAACCCTAAACCCTAAACCCTAAACCCTAAACCTTAAGCGGCAATTGAGGTGATGTCGCTGTCCGAGCTCTTTGTGGCCCGCGAACCCAGTTGCTGGCTGGGTCCGGGTATCCGGCGTGATTTTTTCGAACCCTACACCCTAACTAAACCCTCAACCCTAGACCCGAAGCCTTACACCCTAAACCCTAAACCCTAACCTTAAACCTCAACCCTAAACCTACTTGAAAGGCACTCTAAATCTTCCAAAGGCGCGCAACCGCAAAAGCCCCCAATCCGGCGCTCATCATCCGAAAGCCTCGACGGAGCCTTCAGATCCCCAACTTGCCAGGGCTTGGGGGGTTTAGGGTTTAGGGTTAGGGTTTTGGGGTTTGGGGTTCAGGGTTCAGGGTTCAGGGTTTACGGTTTAGGGTGTAGGGTTTCGGGGTGTAGGGGTTTTAGAGTTTAGGGGTGTAGGGGTTTAGGGCTTTAGGGTTTGGGGGTTTCGGGTTTAGGGCTTAGGGTCTAGGGGTGTAGGGTTTTAGGGCTTTAGGGTTTGGGGTTTAGGGGTTTACGAGGTTTTGGGGATTGCAGTTTTAGGGTTTACTGCCCAAAGCCCTAAACCACAAACTGCCTTCCCAAAAGGTCAGAGGCAAGAAGTTGCGTAGCCGGGGATTTAGGACGTAGGTCTAGAGCTTCGGGTTTAGGGTGTAGGGTTTACGGTTTAGGGTATAGGGTTTAGGGGTGTAGAGGACATTCTGTCTCCTGCAAATGGTCGGTTGCCCCCACCTCATGCCGATGCATGAATTCTTCAGCACCCCGAAATCCTACGCCCAATCCCTAAACCCCCCACATCCCTTCCCCCCCAAACCCCCAAACCCCCGAACCCCCGAACCCCCGAACCCCTAAACCCCTGAACCCTAAACCCTAAACCCTAAACCCTAAACCCCTGAACCCTAAACCCCTAAACGCATAGAGTCCCCAAACCATGGAAAGTCGCTGTGGCCCTCTGAGGGACTCACCGCATCTCGAACAGCAGAGGCCAGTGCCTCGGGGTCTTAGGGTTTAGGGTTCAGGGTTCTGGGTTTAGGTTCAGGGTTTGGGGTTTAGGTTTAGGGTTTGGGGTTTGGGGTTTGGGGTTTAGGGTTTAGGGTTCAGGGTTCAGGGTTTAGGTTTAGGGTTTGGGGTTTGGGGTTTGGGGTTTAGGGTTTAGGGTTCAGGGTTCAGGGTTCAGGGTTTAGGGTTTAGGGTTTAGGGTTTAGGGTTTGACGGTCAGGGTGTCGCTTTGGGTTCGCAGTATGGGGCTTTCGGATTTCTGCCAGTTCGGGTTTGTTTACCTACGATTTTGGGTTTCTCGTTTAGGATTCTCTAGGGGAAAGTGTGGAAGAAAGAAGAAGACGAGAATCCAAGAGCAATCCATTTTCAAGTGTCGAAGGTGGGCTTCCAGCTGGCTTGAATATAGCGGTCTTTGGGGATGGTAAGGGTTTGTAGGTTTTGTGCTTCTTTTTTTTTTGGGGAGGGGGGGGGGGGGGGGGGCGCGGGATCTCGTGTCCGTTCTCTAGCGATAAACGAAATCTAGAACGGGGGTTTGGACGACCTCAACACTAAACCCTAAACCCTCAACCCAACCCTAAATCCTAAACGGGGGGGGGGGGGCTCCGCGGTCATTCCCTTGGAGCCTTACCTACTTATGAAGGCGGCAGCCGATAAACGGCCCAAATCCCGCCCAAACCCCTAAACCCTAAACCCTAAACCCTAAACCCTGAACCCTAAACCCTAAACCCTAAACCCTAAACCCTAAACCCTAAACCCTAAGCCCCAAAAACTGAGGCCAAAAGCAACCCCAGACAAGAAGTGCATGACGTGCGGCCTTTTTTTGGGTGCCCATGAGACCCTTCGCCCATGGGATGTAGGTGTGTTCGATGCACATGGAGCATGCCAGAAGCAGCCAAACATCTAGCTACACCACAAGCTTTAAAACCCTGAGCCCTAAACCCTAGCACTCTTGCTTCGTGGTTTGGGGATGTTTTAGTAGCTTCTCTTGCATGGCCTTTCGGTTCAGAAGTGTACGGTTCTTGGCTTTGGGACACAGGGCGCCATGTTTAGGAGGACGGGGTTGTGCGGATTAAGGGGTCGGATGTTCCCCCATATACCAACAGCCAACAGTCCTTAGTAGGGACTATTAAATGGGGGAGAACTATAATCCTTATTACGGATTGCCAGTAGTAGAAGGGAACATCCCAGGGTGCGGGGTTAGGGTTTTGGGGGGGTGGGGGGGGGGGGGGAGGTCTTGGAAGAGCCCTAAAACCCTAAAACCCTAAAACCCGAAAGCCCTAAAACCCTAAAACCCTAAACCCTAAACCCTAAACCGAGGTTCTCGATGCCGGCGGCTAAGTGCGGATTCTGCCGGAGAGTTTCAAGTTTGGCATTCGGAATTTTGGGGCTTTCAGGCCTTGAGGCTTTTGGAGCCTCCCAAAACCCCTGAACCACAGACCTGAAACCCTTAACCTTGAGTCGTGCATGCACCCGACCCCCCCCCCCCCCCCCGCGGTTGGTTTCCTGTCTTCCTATGACCTGCTTGTTGTTTAAGGGTTTAAACCCTCCTTGGCGCAAGATGTGCAGATGAGCCCGGATTTCAGACTTGACTAGTGCCAGCACTTGTCGTATGAGTACCACGAGTACTGTTTTACAAGTTCTACTCGTAGCACTGTTTCTACCATTGCCACTTCACTGCTACTGCTAACTATTCAGACTTCAAGACAAAGGGGGAGAAAAGGTTTCACAACAGAGCGACTTGAAAGAATACGTACACAAGGGCTGCGCCCCCCCCCCCCCCTGGGATGAAGCAACACCTTACACCAGGCATTCCAAACCTTAAGCCCTAAAGGCCTCACACCCTAAACCCCAAACCCTAAACCCTAAACCCTAAACCCCAAACCCTAAACCCTAAACCCCAAACCCTAACCCTACTCTCCTTGAGGGGGTGCTGGAGATGCCCAGTGTGATGCCCTTCCTGGGGCTGGCTCGGTCATCCTACTCAGCGCGCCGGGGCGCCCTTGCTGCGGGGGTCGTCGGAGGGCATAGGGTTTAGGGTTTAGGGTTTAGGGTTTGGAGTCCTAGACCCCTGGAAGCCTCAAACCCCCGGGCGAATCGTTCAGGGTTTAGGGTATTTAGGGTGACCCCTACCCCACCTTTCCCACGAAGACGCCTGCTTAGGGGGATGCCTTTCCGGAGGGGGCTTCTGGTATCATCCTAAACACCCCCCCCCAAAATCCTAACACCCGAAAACCCAAAACCCGACACCCGACGGGTTTAGGGGCTTGGGTGTTTCGGCTCCCCACGAACTGTCGGAGGGATATAGGGACGATATAAGGTATCCATAGGGGTTATGTAGGGGGAATAAGATGATAAGGGTCCCTTCTAAGGGTTCCCTTCGAAAAA